TACCAAAATTCCTGCTTGCGAAGAAGCATTTACTATTATTATTAATAGACACCCAACCAAAAAAAAATTAAAAACTCGAGAACCAATGTTTTTTTAGCCGTATTCCATTTTCATGTACGCTATTAAAAACATATGCCTATTTTACACACATTTACTCATAAAAGCTATAGTGTTGGATAATATGTAAATAAGACACTTTGCCAGTAATTTGGAAAACTCACGGATGTTAATTTTCACATTCCTAAAGCATCATTTTCTAAACCCTACTCGATTATCTATGACTTTAAAGAGAATATACGCTTATGTTACTAGAAACCCTAGAAATGACCAAAAAATAGATGCTAACATATTCACAATCCGCACAGTGGCAATCAAACCGTTGTTGATTGTTATTATTTTTTTTTCTTTTTGGAAACGGCAAATATCATCAAAAGGTCGACGATTAGCAAGTAACTAAATCGCGATAGAAAAAACTATATAAGGAGAAAAATATGAAAATAAAAACAAAACAAATTACAGGAGATAAATGACTAAAAGATGAGCAAATTCATTCAGCCCAGTCGCCACAACCATTTTTCTCCTGTATTTGAAATTAGCGACAATGGCATCTATTACCTTTGTTAATGATACTCGAATATTTTTAAAAATCCAATCGTTCCTGGCAATCCAAATGCTCCAGAGCGTGCAATATAAGATTGTATTGTCAATCAGTGTCTGTATCTGACAGTTGTACCACCCATTACCTAAGTTAAGAAATTCTAAGATACTTGAGCACCTTCTACTTCCCAATTCAAGCCATTTGAAGATCCAAGAGTGTACATTTTGGCAAACTCGCAATGTAGGAAGAGGTGATTCACCGATTTTAAGTCATTGTTGCAAAATGGACACATTTGAATAGTAACATTTAAACCCCTTGCTAATAAAGTATCCGCTACTGGAATCCTGCCCATCGAAGTCCCCCAGACAAAACACCTAACTTTTAAAAGGATTATTTTTTATTGTTAAATATACTCGATTTAAAAGGATTAAAGATTACTTGCTTGCATAGCTGTCGTGTCATCTACATAGAGACATGTGGTTAACAAAATGTTTTTGAAAGAATAAGAATCTAAAGGTTAAAGCAATAGACTTGAAAAATATCTTCTCAAAACAAAGATAGAAAATCAATTAAAAACAATGCCTTATGAATGACTATTAGATTTACCCCATTAGCAACCAAATGTTTGGCATGCTGTCACATTTGGATTAAAAGAAATGATTTTTTTTCTTTTAAAACCCATGACCGGTTTGCTCCACCAAACATTCGGTCCCCAATTTTCTTTTTCTTTTATTTATTTGTTTATAATTCTTTTTAGTTAAACATTATTTTGTAATTAATTTTATTTTACTTTAATTTAAAAAAAATAAACAAAATATACTAAAATAGGCAAAATAATTTCATCTACCAATATTGATATATTTTAAGAATTTTATTAATAAACTTTTTATATCTTCTATATAATCTTAAAAAATAATAAAAAATTAGTATATAAATTGAATAACACATAATATATAGTTTGTATAATAAAAAAAATCATTAATAATATAAAAAGTTTAGTTTGTGTTGGATTGATGGTGGGTGTTAAAAGTTAAGTATAATTAGGTTGTGTAAATGGAAGAGAAATAAATTAATTTTTTAATAAATAGTTAGGTTAGTTTTGATTGTAAATGAAAATAGTTTTAGAATCCACCTGGTTTAGATGTGCTTTGTAACACTAACTGGTAGCAAAAAACATTATAGTTTTTATTTATACAGTGTTTGACAGAAAAATTGTAACCTGTAACATCAATTAAAATCTAAAAGTTTTCAAATACTAATTATTTTTGTTTAGTTTTTCCACAAAAGCCACAAGCTCCCAACCAAACACATCCTTAATCTTCAAACCGCATCGTTTATTTGTTAATTTTGTTATATAAGATAAAGAACAATATTATTGTTGTGATAATGATATTTGGGAGTTCAATAAATAGCTCCAACAATCAACGAATTGATTCCATTTTTTGTCCAAATCGACAATGAAGGCTTAAAAATTCTAAATACGGAAGGAAACCTTTAAAAGCCACCATTCCCAAATTAGCATGAACCAATAACAAAAACACAGATTATTTCAAATCCCAAATAAACACCATCACAACCAATCCATCACATCATTCATCAAATATTCAAATATCAAGCCCAAACAAACTTCAAAAAAAAAAAAAAAAAACTACAATCAATCTCTTCACTTACTAAAACCAAACTTCTACATCACAACACGTTTTTAAGAAACAATCCCATCATTCAAAGACAGACCCGCCAGTTGACTGGCGGCACCACCAGCTGCCGCCTGCTGCTGAGACACATTCCTCAAAACCTCCATGGCCTCCGCCACCTTTGCTTTCAAAGCCTCCGGCGACTCCAACAAATGAAGAACCTCAGTTTGATCCATCTCCAAAAGCATCCCAGTCACCTTTGCTGCTGATTCAGGCTCCAACTGTTCCACCAATGGGTACAAACTCTCTCCCAACATCTATCATAATCAAGGGCAAAATCGTCATTTTATCTTAACAAATTTCAAAATACTTTTTAGAAATATAGTTTAATAGTAATGCTTATGGAAAATTTACATATTTGCAAAACATTACTATAAGGACTAAAACTGGAAATAAGTCGAAACACAGGGACCAAAATTGTAAATTTAATCTTAAAGAAAACTAATTAGAAAAGCATACCGTTCTCTGTTCTGTGGGGGAAGCATTAGCAAGTGCAGAAGCCAAAGCACCAATCGGAATGGGTTGTGTGATTCCAGTGTCTCTCAATGCCATTCCACCCATGTCATACGGAACAGAAACCATTCCCCCACCTCCAATTCCGGTCATGGAACCATCCGGAACATTCCGTCCAGGGGGGTAACGGTACATCCTCCCACGTGGCATCATCTGTTATTCATTTATTGTAATTGTAATGAATCAATTAATTAATTTAATTATTAATATCACTAAAAAAATGAGATTATAATTCTAACCTGTTGCTGCATTAGGGGTACGGGCTGCTGGTTTTGCTGACCTGGACCAGTAGCACGCCTGCCACCTGGGCGTTGACCTTGTTGACCTTGCTGCACCATTGGCATGAAGAAGTTTGGCATTGGTGCGCCACCTGGACGCATACCTGGCACAAGTTGCTGTTGATACCCAAATCCAGGCTGTACATGATTTTTTTTTAAAAAAAATAAGAAAAAATAATGGTTTAGTTTTGAAAAGATCTTTACAAGAACAAAATATTCAACACCATGAAATCTTGAAACATGATTATAATAAAAAAGAATAATTTTTATTAATTGAAGTTATTTTACCTGTGGAGGAATGAATGTAGGCTGAGCTTGACCATAGAATATCTGTTGACCTAAACCTGGCCCACCAGGTGGATACATTGGCATACGTGGTGCTACAGCTGGCGCCATTGCAATTGGGCGCATCTGTGAGAACTGTGCCTATATACAAAAAGGGCAAAATCGTCATAAAAATGTTTACATTTGTTGCATCAAAGTACATGTCTCAACATACCTGCAATCTTGCCCTTCTGTCTTCCTTACGTTGTGCAAGTGCCACATAAAGTGGCTTACTTGCAACCATCTTTCCATTCATCTCAAAAAGCTATTACAATTTACAAAAAAGAAAAGAAATTTAAAAATAAAACTATCTAAGAATGATATTGATAAGATAAAGATATTTTACTTACTGCTCTAGAAGCTTCTTCAGAAGTAGAAAAGGCAACAAAACCTGAACCTTTGCTTGTTCCATTAGGATCTCGCATAACCTTGCAAGAAGTTATAGTACCATAAGAAGAAAATAACTCCTTGAGGTTTTCATCATCAATGGTATCATCTAGATTTTTTATGTACAAATTTAACCCTTGTGATTTATCAACTGCCTCCTTCATAGTCTGTTCAAATCTCTGCTTCAATTCCTGTTCCCTTTCGTATTTCTTCTGTGCTTTTCCAACATACCATTCTTTGTTATCAAATTTCTGACCATTAAGCCCTTCAACTGCTTTACCAGCATCCTCAGCATTCTCAAAATTAACAAATCCAAAGCATTTGGAGTTCCCTTCAGCATCCCTCATCACAACAGCACTTGTCACAGTTCCAAATTCACTAAATGTCTTGTTTAGATCATCATCTGTTGTTGATTCGGACAGGTTTTTGACATAGACATTAGTGAACTTTGTCTTGTCGACAGCTAGTTCTCTTTCTTGTTTGCGCAAAAAGGGTCCCACGTAGACTTGTTTGTCGTTTAAAAGCATGCCATTGAGCTTTTCAATGGCTTTTTGTGCAGATTCTTCAGCGTCGTATTGTACAAAACCATACCCCTTTGATTGGCCAGTTGAATCTGTCGCAATCTTGCAGGAGAGGATATTGCCAAATGTAGAGAATGTGTCGTGTAAGGCCTTTTGGTCGATTGCCTTATCAAGATTCTGTTTTTGTTTAGATTGTTCATAGAAGTCAGTAGGTAAAGAAGACTTTAAGAAAGTAGAAACGGTGATTAATAGATTAAGGTTTTTCTGCTTTAAATACCTTGATAAATATGTTTCCAGAGCCACTTTTGCGAACGCTTGGGTCTCGATGAGAATACATTATTCTGATCGCCTTCCCATTCAAAGGTGTGAAGTTCAGCACCTCCATTGCCCTTGCAGCTGTCATCAACATAACAGAAGGAGTAAGAACTAATGCTTTCAACAGTGTTGACATCATAAGGAATTGCAATATCTAACTATGAGAAGGTGAATTTGTTAAACAGCACTAACCATCTTGAGGATTCGCATAGTTGACATAGCCATAACCAAGCGATCGTCGAGTCGACAAGTCCCTGCAAACTCGAACAGAAACCACTTGACCTAACTGGTTAAACAGATCATACAACTGCGAATCCGTCACATTCCACTCCAGATCCCCAACATACAATGAAGTCGGCACAAACTGCTGAGCACCAGCAGGAGCAGCACCACCGACACCAGCACTCACCGCCTGAGGTTGAACTTGAACCTGAGCCGCCATCTCAAAACCCTAGAAATATTTTACCTTTTCCCCAAATTTTCTGATTTTTTTGGCTTTTTTAACTTCCCTCTCCCTTTATTGATATGAATCCAAACCTAGATAGATAAATTGCCTGCAAATCAGAAAGCTTTTCCAACTCCGAACAAAGCAAACCACAGAAACCCTAGAAACTTCCAATTTTTTGTTGTTTTTTTAAATAAGAGAGATAGAGAGATAGGAGAGGGAAGGATATGAATATAAGGATAGATAAGTCGGAGATCCGACCAGGGAACCGCCTAGATCGCCGCCTGGATACGGCGGAGGAGAGAGAGGAGATGTAGATAAGAGAGGTTGGGAGTAAAAGTTGGGATAGGAGGGTTTGAAGGGGAAGATAAAAACTGCAGGCTGCAAGTTGAGGGCTTTGGAGACGCGTGTGCTATATGGGGCCCGATGGTTGTGTGTCAAAGTGGAAAACGTTATGGTGAAACCTACGAGGTGGAGGCACGATCTTCGCCGTTGGATCTGTTGACAGCTGGGTTTATGACCGCACATTTACTTGGTCAGCATAGAAAACATAGAAAACATGTTTCCTCGGTATTTTCAAAATAGATAGTGTGTTTTTTTAAGAAAAATTATACTTCTACTAAAAAAATTATTTATCATTTTACTTGTATGTAGGAGCTAATTAGTTATCGCTGTTGAAATTTTAATATCGGTAACATGGCGCTATTTAAAATCGTGGTTATCACGGTATAACAATGGTATAACGTCTTTTTAATATTATGTATAATATATATATATACTTTTTTTAATACAAGAAATATATATAGAAAATATGTAGGACCTATCTTATTTTTGCTAAAAATACCAACCTATTTCAGTTTTATTTATATAAAGAACCATGTGGTTTTTTGTTCTACATTCGCTACTGTATATATATATATATATATATATACAAAATTTATATATTAGATTATTAATACTATATAGAATTAATATCATAAAAAATCATATAAAAACATAACATA